TTTGTATACTTGATTAGGACTTCTTATTAGGAATAGACCCGAAAGGGTAAGCTTAAATACAGAACAGAATTTCCACTCAAGCACACAGAGCGACGTCCGGCTTCAAGGTAAGCGTCAGGTCAAGCTTGTTTGAGTGTGTTATGCCTGTCGGTGAACTCGAAGCTCTGTAGCGAGGGTTCATCCGGCAAGGCCAAGAGACTTTGTGTATTGGCCGATTATTATCGGGAGGTTTTACGTGACGGCTTATTGTTGCCTATTTGCACGACTGGGAGTGCTTGAATTGCCTCCCTTTTATTTCTTCCAGCCGAGTGTTGAACACTCGGTGATCTCGTAAAAGGCTTACCCGTGCCTAGTACCCTTCCGCTGTTGGGACCACGAGGATTCAAAACACCTGCTAGCTTTGCTCGTGCTAGTAGCGTGTTCTTATTTTACTGGTTGGCCTATATAAGTAGTTTACAAGGTCCAGTTTGTCCCGGTGCAAGGGCAGAACTGGGGTCTTCAGGTCCGCCCGAACGATCGTTTACTATCCTAGTAGACGTATTGTTGTGGGAACATCCTAACTACACCTGTAGCTAGAGTTCACGTGGGATTTCCAACACCACAACTGGTGCCGCGACCCGGGAACAGATTGTGACCATTGTGAACTGTTTGTATGGCCTTCCAGTTTACGAGCTACCAAGAGAAGAAGAACAAGAAAAAGACAAGAAACATGGCGAAAGGACAACCGACGGTACCAGTTACGCCTGCCAAGTCTGGCGGGGCTCGCAACGAGAGTTCAAGCCCGGCTGCGCGCTTTGCAGCCGCCACCGAGCTTTCAGTAAGCTTCGACGACGAAGCGGACATCGGTCCTGACGCCCACGATTATGAAGATTACGAAGATAAGACGCCGGCTCCAGAGCCAGGCGCAGCGACGCCGGAGACGGCCACGCTATCATCGGGGCTGAGCGGGGCGACCAAGTCCCTTTCGAGGAACCTCGCCGACGAGCTCGATGATGTTGCGGGACCGGAACCGGCCTATGATGATTATGACGATGGGACCGAGGGGTTTAAACCTTCGGTGGCGAGTGCAATGCATTCAGCACTGCTGAAGGCACCTCGCCCACCTATCAACGGTGATACACCAGCCGCCAAGCGCGTTTTCGACCGCGTACAAGCGCTGATGCAGAATGATGAGTGGATGCAGCTGTTCAAGCCCATCCCCAAGAAAAAGGCCGACTGGCCTGCGCTTGCGCAGAAACTTCAATACCCAGTCAACTCGGTTTCGACTAGTCAAGTTGCCGAGGATTCAGTTTCGCTACTGTTGTCGCTGGGGTTCGAGAACGAGACGTACCCATCGACGATGTCGCTCCAGGATTGGAGTCCACATGAAGCCGGAGCTGCTCTCCAGAAATGGAAGAAGAAGCTTCGGAAGGCGTTTAACGCTGTTGGCATCAATGCCGGAAAGCAGCCTGTGAGTCGACCGATGATTCAAGATGAAGATCCGTCTAAGATTCCACTGCCGCCGACGCCCCAACGACTCGTTCGTACTCCTCCGACCAAGCGTGGAGCTGAGCGTGATGCCTTTGGCACTACCGAAGCTTCACCGTACTTTCAAGACTCGCACATGGTTACGCCACGTTCGGAGAGCCGTATACAACGTATTTACGCAAGTAACGAGGGTTCGTTCGGTCGCCGAGGCGGTGCGCGAGCTCCCAAAGGTGGTGCCGGACGTCGTCAAGTCGACAGCGATGGTTCGTCCAGTGACGATGACATTTTGGTGCGTACATTCGACGAGGAAGATCCTCAACTCGAGTTGATGCGTCAGATGAATGAGCTAGCGACGCTGAACGACGTGGACCCAACCCCGAGGATTGAAATGGCCTCGCACCGACCGCTGGATCGCATCACGCCGTTCTCAGGCTCTCGCAACAAGAGCGAGAACTGTATGCAGTGGCTCCGTGGGTTCGTCTATGAAATGACTGGAACCCACACAGATGCCGATAAATGGTGCATTCCATTTGAGCTAAGTCTCCGGGACGGAGCCACTCATTGGTTCCGTCAACTTCCGAAGAAGACGAAGCGCAAGTGGAAGCTGCTGAGCGACGCGTTCATCCGCTACTACTGCTCGCAGTTCACGCAGACGGCACTGTCGCGTTACTACTCTGCCAAGCGGGAACGTAATGAACATCTGTGCGACTACATAAACAGGCTGAATGGCTATGCTCGGACCGCCCGTCTACACTTCGAGAAGAGTGGTCACGACGCGAAAGAACACGTACAGCAGTTCCTGGCAACATGCGATGATGACAAGCTGGCGGAGAGTCTCTACCACGCTCGAGTCGCCGACATTCACGAGCTCGAAGAGATCATCGAAGATGTTCTCAAGGGCAAGGAGAGGATGACCAAGCGTGACAGTGAGTACCGATACTCCAAGAGTCGTGATACGCGACGCGACGATGGATTCGCCCGCAACAACCGGCGTGATGACCGCCGTCGCGATGACAACCGAAACAAACCAAGAGTGACGCTCATTGAAGCCACGGTGGATGACCTACTAGCTGAATTAGAAGGTCGTGAAGCTGCTCAGGGAGGCACCGAGTATTCAAACGAAGATCCGAACGCTTACAACGATGTCCAAGACGAGTACAGCGACTTTCAGCCCGATAATACGGATGGTGATTTCTCATTGGATGAAAACGACCGATACCTCGCCGCTGCTAACGAAAATGAACGTCGTGCAGCTGCTGAAGGCACCTACGCACGTTCAGACAACCGTCAACCGCGTGGAAACGTGCCTGATCGCGAGAATGGCCTTAATCAAGATCGCCGAAGTAGGGACCGTGGGTTCAATCAGGACCAACGCGGTCGACGTGACTTCAACCGCGACAACCGACGCCCACAGTACGGACCATGCGCGGTGTGCGGTGGCATGAGTCACTCCGCCCACTACTGTAACAAGCGATGCAAGTTCTGCAAGCATCTCCACGATGCTGGACAATGCGAACTTTTCCGCAACTTCCAAGACCTTGCCAAATTCGTGCGCACTAAAGGCACGAAGGAGGAACTCCTGCCAGAGCTCAAGGCCGTCGTTCAAGAACCTCATTTAAACTAGGCAGCCCGCCAACTACAACTGGGTGGTCCCTATCGGGCTGCCACAGCTAACCGAGCCTTCAAT